CCGAACTGACAGTGAAAGTCTCTTTTTTAAATAAGTCAGGTCCAATAATGACGCCCACAATTGCAGAGTGGTTATTAGCATTGCGTACCGCCATTCAGAAGAGTAGGGTACGAGTCCTAGTTCGACCAACATCCAACATTATAGAGAATTAATTTTTCTAACTGCTTTCGCACCGCGGTACAGAATGTCAGGACCGCCATCCAATGGCCGATCGGAGACACAAAACCACAAATTGAAGGAGAAGCTCGACAGAAAATCGTTTCAGCAGTTGCAAAGCGCCAGTTCTTCAATTAGTTGAGGTTATAGGTTTAAGCACGGTGCGGTACGAGAGTCCCAGCTCTTGAGAACGTCGAGAACTACACAGATTCAAGCTTTCGGCTGCACTTTCATTTACTGTAGCGATATGTGAGATGCAACGAAGAAAACAATGATTCACAGACCTTACAATATCTGTAAACCATCCTGTCTCTTCGAATTTCGATACAAATGGGGCCACACGTGATCCATGCAAAATAGAAAATGTTATTTGGGAGTTGCAGAGGAGCTCATCATATTTTATGCAAAATTAAAATAATTTCTCCATCTTTACCAAACCAGTATGTATATACATATATAATATATGTATATATATAGAATACAAATAAGACAAATGTACACATGCGGCTCGTTATTGGCGCTGGCGTATCCTTTTCTACAAATAATTGCCTACATTAAAAACCTGCCATATTAAGTACTATTGTTGAACACTATCCTCAGTAGTATATTCAAGTACACATTGTATATACTTAGGTACATATTAAAATTCGACACCTGCTCTCACATACGGTATACGAACACATGATGAGGTACATATGTAGTCTGCTTATCTGACTACTAACATATCATCAAACCATGTGAGAGATTGCACCCTTTAAACGATTGAATTTGAATAATTTATGCCAACGGAAGGATTTTCGGCAAGGTCATAAATCACGCTATCCCAAGTATGTTCAAATATTATGCATATATATTCCTAAGAGCTTAGCCGAGGTAAAACTGAAATCAATGTGTTGCAATCAAGAATCCAGCTGAATTGGCCCTCGTTAAGAGTTTTGTGCAAAAAATAAAAATAAAATAAAATATAGGAAAAGAAAATGGTTTAGATAATGGTTATTTACGTAAGTAAATATATCTTTATGTATGTAAGAGTATGTATTATTTTAACAAAAATTAAAAATAAAAACTTTTTGCTTGAGCTTTAAAAAGGGCGTTAGCAAGTTTTTGCTTTAACTCAATTAAGTTTATAGAAATTTATTGAAAATACATATAAAAAGAATGGCCGTTAGTTAATTAGTATTATCTGTGTATGTATGTATTACGATAATCTCATAGACCAGCTAGATGCGGATTTTGCTATTTGAAACTGTGTTTAAAGATTTCTTGATTTTTGAATAGTCAACTTAAAAAACATTTGGAATAATTTTTTTTTGTGTAAAAGGAATAGAATATTTTTTTGTAAAAGTAATAAAAAAATTTAATTTTTTTTTGTAAAAATAATTAAAATTATTTTGCAAAATGAATAAAATTTTTTTTGGAAAAGCAAAAAAAAAATTTTTTTTGATAAAAGTAATATATTTTTTTTGTAAAAGTATTATAAAAACTGTATTTTTTGTAAAAATAATAAATTTTTTTTTGATATTTTTTTTTGTAAAAACTGTCTAACAATCCTTAAGCGATAATGAGTGCAATGACGTCTGTGATGAAGTTCGAATAGCGACTAAAGAACAACAATGCGTCTGGAGCAAAGAGAAAAGACCGTATAAGCTATTTAAATATGTATGATGGTGTAGAGCTGCCAAGGTGAATGCATCAGCATCTTTGCAGAATGTTGGTTGGACGAAATCATACCCGACGGTTGTAAATGTGCTTTGTCAATTGCCATAAGATTACCCTCCTCAATATCGCATATTGAGTACTATCGAGCAAGTTGTGTGAAAGCCCACCATCTGATTGGACCTTATATGATGGATTGAAAACTAACTTTCTCGTTGTGCTGATGTCAGCGCTTGTTATGTGGGAACTCTTATAGTGCGTGGCATCATCTCGGACATCGGAGTTAATTTGTCACGCAACGCAGCCGAAAAGTTCAACTGCCATCAGCTTTGCTAGTTGGAAAAATGTTAAAGTTTTTTTGCATCAAAAAAAAAAAAAAAAGTTTTGTTTTGATGTTTTAACTTTCAGCATTTTAGAAAGGTAACTTTTGATTAGTTCTGAAACTACTCTTCATAAAGGACTCATTTAGTGTTTGTTAAAATAAAAACTTTGTATATTTGCATACATATATGTGCATTTAAAAAGCTCATTTTCAATCATTCTCTTTTACGCATTATGAAGTTTACACAGTCACAATTGAGAGTACTTTCTGACTACCATTCATTCATGTGTCCAGATATAGGATTTGAACTGCTTACTTATAATGTCTGCACCACCACTACCTCAACAAAAATAATTATAAATCGAAAAAATCTCGATTTCAAAATATCCGATACAAAGCCGCAACAACAATCATCAGTTGCTAAATGACAAAATAAAAAATAAATAAAAATGTATATATATACATGTTTTTATATTGTATATATATGTATGTATTTATGTTCCTATAATTTCTCTTTATTACAATCATAATCTTCTTAGCATATAAAAAGCGCATATAAAAATGTAGAATACTTTCACCACAAAAGAGCACAGAAGATGTTCATTGAATCTCTTTCTTTGTGGAGCACAGCGTCAGCGAAAAAGAAAATTAAAAAAAATTAAGTACATATTTCGGTGTTAAAATTCACTGCATACCCCAAATAGCCGAATGTAAGGGCGGATAATAATGGAAATTTTACGAAGTAGTTTTGCGAATTGTAGCGGATAAAAGAAATTATGAAAATAAATTTTCCAAGCGAATGCAGACGTGTTGCAGTTGGGTGCGTAAAATAATTTCGTTTTCAATCCGGTATTATGAATGAATTATCAGCTTTGTACATACACACATATAATACGAGAAAACAAAAAGTTTTCATTTGATCTCACTTTTCTATTTTGAGGCGGAGGAGTTTTTCTTCAAATATACAACTACAAAATGAAAGTCCTATTCGACAGTTAAAAAAAAAAAAATAATAGTATACCTTTGTAGACAAACATTATCGCCTCATTTTGTTTGATATACTTTATCTAATTTTAAATTAATTAATTTAATTTTTTTTAAATGGTTTCTAGTTTCATTTATTTATTTTGTTTCACTTAAATTTATTTAACTCTCCATTTTAATTGGTATTTTAATTTTATGAAATAAATTTTATTTTGTTTTGTTGCATTTCTTTAATGTTATGCTCTATTTCATTATAATTTATTTTATATTTTTTATACAATTTATATTATATCGCTTTGTTTAATTATTAATTTTATCTACTTTCTGTCTTTGCTTGGATCTATTTTATTTATTTTTGATTTGATTTATTTTGATTTTTTCTCATTTCATTTATATTTACTTAAGTTTAATACAAGATATATAATTGGTTGTTTTTTACTTTATTAAATTAAATTAAATTTTATTTCACTTTCTCTATATTTATTTTGTCATTATATATTTCAACCTTTTCATTTAACTTTTTTCGCTCTATCGATTTTAATTTTACTTTTTATTTTTAGTTAATTGCTCTTTATGTTAATAACTTTATTTATTTATTTTATCATTTTTATTTTTTAATGCATTTAATCAATTTCCATTTTCATGTACTTTGCTTAATTATTTTTCATTTCGTTTAATTGGAATTTTTCTCATTTTATTTTCGAGTACTTTATTTTAATTTATTGTTTGTTTTGTTTTTATTTTTTAACTTTATTAAATAAAGTTAAATTTTATTACAACTTATTAATATTATTTTATCTTTTATATTCTTTGATTTCATTTCAACTATTTTATTTTACATTTTTCGCTTCATCATTTTTCTTTTTAAGTTATTGCATTTTAAGCCCTTTCATTTTACTTTATTTATTTAACTCTATAATACTTTATTTAATTGTTTTGATTACATTTTACTTATTTCACTTTTTCCATTTATCTTGTGGTTAGAATTTATTTATTTTACGGTACTTCTTTCATTTTATTTAATATAATTTGATTTTGTTTTATTTATTTTTATTCGATTTTCTAATTGTTTTTTTTTTGTTGGTTTATGGTATGTTGTTTTTATTTTATATACATTATTTTAATATTTTATATTTATTTACTTTAATTCACTTTATTTTTATTTAATTTTTATCTCAACTTACTGTAATATATTCTGTTTAGTTTTATTTAATTTGAAGCGGTATAAGTGAATTAATTAATGCAAATTTCAATTATTAATTATTAGATACTTATTTATTTTATCATAATTATTTTAAATTTACTAGATTTAATTTTATTTTACAGATTTACACATATTAAATTTTGTTAAATATATTTCGTTATTCTTAAATTAATTTATTTTAATTTGATTTAATATAATAGATTTCAGTTTTATTTGATTTTGTTTATATTAATAGCATTGCATTTTTAAGTTTTTTTTATTTCATTTATTTTAGTTAATTTAATTTCAAAGTCTTAAGTTTTATTTTACAGTTTTATGTATCTGCATATGCATATCTTATTTTGCTTTATTTCTGATGATATTTTTAAATTTGTTTTGTTTCGCTCAAATTTATATTTTATTAAATTTTTATTTCGTTTATTTTTAATATTTTTATTTGAATTTATTTAACTGTAGTCAATTTTTTATTTATTTATTTGTTATTTTAATTTGTCTAATATTTATTATCTATTAATGTCATCTTATTAAATGAATGTTATTTCATTCAACTATTTTATTTAATTTCTTCTCTTCTCTTAAGGAAGTCAAAATATGGCAGCGCTGCAGTGCGCAGATTCACCAACGTTCTCGCTGGTGATTTCCCATTCGCTACTTTATACGAACAAGCAGAAAGCAATAACAAGAATTTGAAGTTTACTGCATTGATGAAGGCTGTTCACAATTGACAGTTGCTGAAAACATGGTGTAGAATAAAGTACAAAATATTTCGGTAGCGGAAAAATAACGTCTTGTGTTAAAATCGAGAAAATTAATAAATTTTTAAATAGAGCCCACATTTTGGAATAATATTCATTAATAGCGAAAGCAGAATTTCAGTGAAGTGAATGTGTGTTGTGTATCTTAAATAAAGGCTACCTGCTGTCGCCACAGTGAATGTTTACAAAATTTCCGATAAAGTGGCAAGCGTAAAATAGCTGATAAAAGTGTATTGTGCAACATTGAGAAATGTAAATAAAAATAAAAAACATAAACGTCATAAACGCAGATAAAGACTACGGCATTGTTTTGTTTAAAGATTAGGTAAATAATAAGTATGCTTAAAAAGCAAATACGAATTATGAATGAATTATGCAAAGTCTTGTGATACAATGCTCATAAGGCTGGAAGCAGTAGTCAGCTGCTCCATGTAAAACCAATTGAGTCGATATTGGTAAATAAAGCAAATGAAAGGAGATGAAAATGCAAAGATAAATAAACGGAGAGCTGTGATTATTAAGAATATACTGATTTTTGCATCTCAAATAAATAAATTATATTTTTATGTATGTGTGTGTTACCAACTTGAAAAATGAACAATAATTGAAACAGTAAGCTCACTTTATTAGTTTTTGATAGCTCCTGTCTGACCCATTCCAAAGCTTTTTGCCATGTCTGCTTAATGAAAATCATTTTGAATGCTTACATGGACATTTTCATATGTGTGTGTTTACCGGTCTTTCCGACGTTGTTCGAAAAATATGCAAAGTTAAAAAGTTGATTCATGAGATATAAAAATCCATATTTTCCGAGTAATTAAAAAAGAGAATAAAATGCATTCAATGCTCTGTAGAAAACATATGTTCATATATGTATGTGAATTAATTATTACTATAAATAAACTATTTTGCATTTAGAAACCAATTGGATTGCTTCCATTTAAATTAATTAATCTAATCTTTATGTAGGTAGCTAAAAATTAATTGCTGTGGAGAACGAAGAAGTTAAAATTACCAACAACACTTATCTACGTATATACATAAGCATAGCTATAATATTTGTATAAGTTGGCCGAAAATTTATCTAAATAAAACAGAATGTGCCAATAAAATCGAGAATACGTATGTACATGCTTGGGTACATTTTGTGTTAATGTAAATACTCGACTTGCAGCCATAAAAAATGTTCGCTAGATTTAATTGAAAAAAGTTTTTGTTTTTGAATCTTTCCACCTTTTTGGTCGGCTTTCACCTCCTGTTGGAAACATGAGTCTTAATGTTTTCATACTATTGAAGCGACCTTTGGTTATTTATGCATTCTCCGAACGGCTGATGAGTGGTGTCTTTTATTTCATGAAGCGTTGAAATTCCTTGCCAAGGAATTACGTTAAAAAAAGGAAGCAGGAAAGGGAAATTGATGCTATTAAAAAGGCTGTAAGACGTAGAGAACATATATGTAAATATGTACCAAGCTGTTAATGATGCCGGTAGCAGTGTTTTATAAACATTACTTACGTGTGCGAAAGGTATCCTCATTGAGACTACACATCACTAAATGTGGAGAAGCTCAAAGCCATACATCCTGGGCCATTCCATTATGGAAAAACGCTCTGCTGAGGAATATTAACGCGAATTGAAAGTACCTCAGAATATATAGGCTAGAACATAGAAAAAGTGCCCAGGGAGGTGAACTGTTATCACTTAATTAGGTCACTAATAGCAATTGAACTTTTGAAAAAAGGACCTAAGCTAATTGTTTTCGCAGTCGACATAAATACATATAATTACTGCTGAAGGGCAAGTTTCTACATACAATCGTATGTAGTAAAGTGATAAAAGTAGTAGTGATAGTAAAGTGATAAAGAATGCTCTATAGGTCACATGCTGGTAGGCGATATCGGCCAACTTAGTGTTAAAACGTATTCGGGTTTTTTTTCACAATAATGAACAACCTTTCAGCATATAAATCTACAAAGCACCAGATGGAGTTAACTATTAACTGGTCTCAATTTGTCAGAAAGGGTAAAAAGGGCAGAAAACCGTCCAACACGCATATTAGAAGATATTATCCTCTTCGTGCCGCCTATCGTCTGGCCTCATGCACTGGTGTTTAACAGCGGTGTTCAAGCCAACCCTGCTTTATGGCGTTTTGGTGTGGTGAATCGCTGCCGTCAAGCGAACACTCTCTGCCTAACAGACACGCTAAAAAATACTATAATGGCTGTGCAACTACTCACCAGCCAAGCGAAGCTACGAGCTTACCAAAACACTGCCCACAGGACTGTGATGGGAAACTTCCTGATGTTGCTCATGCGCCGCATACACAGTGAAATCTTACTGTGGTCCCAGCTAAGGAGCATAATGTTGTGCTGTGTAAGCAAAATCTTATGGTGTGCTACCATCGAAGTCATCCTAACAGGCACTCGCTGAACAATAACTTAGACTTATCAGGAAGAGAGTACTATACTTGAACGGCTGGAAAGAAAGGCATACCATATTGCTTGAGACGCTATTCTCAGAGAGCCTGTTAAGACCTTCGTACACTCTTCGGAATCGAACCATCATCTATCGGGGATTTGCATATTCTCTGCATGCAATGAGTTCCCACTATAACCACCACTTAACATATCTTCTAAAACCAACACATCTAATAGCCCTCTCGCTCTGGTTCGAGCTCATCGAAGAAACTCTGAAACCAGTCAACACACGAGAACCACATCGGCTAATAGCTCTCTTCTCCCAAGTAGCAAAAACTCTTCAAGCCTTGCTGCTTACGTTTTTCATACACCACTTGAGCATATAAGTATGGCTTCCGGAAGGTGTACAGGCACCACAACTGTACATAACGCGATAAATCGTTTAGTACTACTAATGGACATTGTGGACTCCTCATTACCGCCAGGTTTGAAGTGGTGGGCCATGGGTTACCTGAGTGGTAGGAAATTGTCAGGTTATCCGCAGGATAGTGCCCTCTTTTCACTGTTGCTTAACTTCTATTACTCGGGGGCTCCCTCCTTCACCAGAAGGTGTTTGAATAAAGACATATGCTGACGATTGCTCGAAATTGGCGTCTGACCAGGATATTGTTGACTTATGTTCGAAAGTAACCTTTCGAAAATTCCTCGACGGACGAAAAAGTACCGGCTCGAACTCCATGTGAGAGTCTTTGGCATGTAAATTCTGACTACGAATTAGTCGAAGTTATTTGGAGTCACATTCAAAAGCTTGGATACCTTTACTCCGCATACGACTGTTGCTGGCAACATACAAGTCCCGCGTAATACTGACGCAATTAAGATCTTGATACTGTTTTCGACTAAATTCCTCTATCCATTCTCGAACCCGAAATATCCTACGTGTGTCCTGCATTAAATGAGTCCCCTGACGATACTAACACCTCTTTTCCTGCCCTCATCTAACCCCTCTTTCCCTCTGGACCGGACCCGTCGATGGATGGCCTTCGCTGACTTATACTTATCGCTACAGCAACAGCAACATGATCTCCATGTCTTCATATAGTTTTGCCTTTTACGTAGGTGCTCATGTACTTAACCATTGCGTAGCTTATAAGTTGGGAAATTTCTTTCTGCATACATATGTACGAGTATATCAACACTTCAGTAGCTAACCTCACAAATATTTTTACTTCTATTTTCAGAGTATCTTGTCTTGTCCCATAAGACACCGTTATCAGCTACGTTTAAATGCTTTTACTTAAAAAGTTTACGTGCACTTGTTGTTGTTGTGTGCTGGATTTTTGAGGTGAGCCGAAAAATTGTTGTGAATAGTAAAAGCTAGCCAAACAACAAAAAAAAAAATAATAATACTGCACATAAGGGAAACACGTCCGATGGCGCAAATTAGCATCGCATGAATTGTGCCAAGCTGATGGTTGAAAATACCACCAAAACATCAATAAACACGCACACACACGTACACCCCCCACCAGCCCCGGTCCAACCAGGAGCTCTCATGAAAATTCACACACCCACGCGAATATCGTCATGTAGGCAGGCGCCCGAATGTTTGTCATGCTGAGCATTTCACATTTCGCATTCAGAATTTAACAACGCCATCAACAGTGCTAACATCGATTACAACGAGGACGGCCTCGTCAGCGGCATAACAGCGCGGCTGGAATAAGCTTAAATCGCATTTGAAAGAGTGGAATTTTCGCAATACAAGTTGGCGACGTGACGACGTGAATGCTTCGTTAGCATCGCATTGCGGCAAGTGTGCTGAAGAGAAGACTTAATCCCTTTACCCCAATAACATCAACAACACCAACAACAACAATAACAAGATCAACAAGAAAAAACGGAGCAAAACAGTCAAACCAATCTGCCCTCCCGCATTGTGTTTACCGTCATCCGCCATCCGCCATTCGCTATTCGCCATTCGCTAAACAATTCATTCAACTCAACACAACTTAGAGCACATCCAAATCCGCCCACCGTTATAGCCGCTATAAGCACAATTCAGTTTTCCATTATACCCATTTAACCTCTTTTATTTGAATTTACTCTACCATTCGTCTCGACTTAAGCGCCGCCATTCGCATTAAGAGTTTTTCTTAAGGGGATTTGTTCAAATTGCTTGGCAGGCATACGTCCTAGTACTAGTTATAGCGTTCATTTTAAATCAGTCAACCGCCGGAACGCTACAACCGCATTGTTCAAACTATTAAAGTGTTCCGTCGTTCGATGAAAGACCGGAGGCGACCATAGAGTGTTGGGCGAGAGGAATTCCTCGGCATTGCTTGGAATTGTTTGGAATTGTTGTGTTCGTTCGTAGTAGTGGCGGCGGCGACGACGGCGGTGATGCAGACAACAGCTGGCAGCCAGCATTCTCTGTTGGTGTAATAAAAATCGTACACGTAATTTGTGTTGCCGATGTTGGAACATGCCAGTGGATATGCAAAAGAACGTCTCCGTACAAGTTGATAGTGATTTTGCTCTACTTCTGCCAAGCGGTGTTTACGAGATTAAGAAAATGGAACCACGCTCCAAAATACGAACAATTATTCTATTTTGCCTATTTTTGGCAATAGCGGGTATTATTGGATTTGGTTACTTCTGCCAAGATCAGGTGAGTGATAATTTTTAACTATAACAATAAATATAATGGAATTTAATTATATGCACATGCCATGCAGCAGCCTACTGATATGTAAACCAAATAACCTGAAACTCACTGTGCGCGGTTAGGAAAATAGTACACAAGCCCAGCCGCTGTCCAAAAAGACAGGAGCCGTAGCGAAAAGTAGCGTTGGCGCAAATAGTGGAGGCTCTACTCTCCACTTAAGGCGTCAGGATAGAGGGAGGAACCGCTCCTTCTCCTACTTTTACTTCGAATTAGATATTTAGAGGCGCGGTGAAAGCGTCAGAGATTTAGAGGCGGTGGAATATTACACCGTTTTTGGGAAGGTCATGATGAGGTCCTATTGCCCTTCTTTACGGAAACTATCAGGTATTTAGAGGCGGAAAGGTCAAGAAAGCCAACGTTTTGCTCCGCTCCTTTACAAATTACCATTTAATTATTTGGAGACGGCGAGGATCTAATCACCCTCTTGGAAGGTAGTTGTGCGGTTCTACTCCTCTATCTTCATGACCTATACATAGACATCGGCATCAGGCGAGCTATCGCTGATGCTAGGGCTTGACATACTTACTTACTTTACTGGCGTAGACACCACTTACGCGTTTATAGCCGATTTACAACAGTGCGCCATTCGTTTCTTCTTCTTGCTGTTCGGTGCCAATTGGAAATACCAGGTAGAGAAGGGTCTGGCTGTATTGTACGGAATGGAGGTCCTCCTCTTCCTCTGCTTACATTGGTGGGTATTGCATCGAAAACTTTCAAAGCTGAAGTACTCGCATCCATCCGAAATACATGACCTTGCCAGCGTAGCCGTTGTTTCTTGATTCCCTGAACTATATCAATGTCGCCATTTGACTCGAACAGCTCATCGTTCCATCGTCTGCGATATTTGCCTTTGACAACACGCAGAGTACCATAAATCTTATGCAAAAACTTTCTCTCGAAAACTCCTAATGCCGACTCATCAGATGTTGTCATCGTCCATATCTCCACATCATTTAGCAGGACCAGTGACTACTCAGTCCAAAGTAGCACCTGTTGGCAAGAGTGATTCTGCGCTGAATTTGACTTCGAAGTGATGACTGTTAACAGTGACGTGTTGGGCCAAATCGTGCTTCTCTTTCGGAAGGCCGTGAGCGCTAAACAACGATAAGTTGAAAAATTTCGTTTTGATGTGGATTGTGGCGAGACACTCATCCACCGGGGTGAATGTCAGTACTCGACGATGGAGTCTATCTACCACCACAAATCGAACACTCAATTTGCGCTCCTAAATGTGGCCGCAGTAGTAAATGTTACAAGAACTTACTCGCTTTCGTCATTGTCCCGTTCATCGCACTTCTTGGACGGCGGTGATGTCAAGCTTTATTCTTACGAAGACATCAACCAGCTGGGCATCGGCACCTTTCTACTTAAAGGACCGGACATTCCAGGTGCATGCCCTTAAATCGTGATCTTTAATTCGTTTGCGGGGTCGTAAACAGAAAGGAAGTATCTCATCTGAGGCGTTGCATAACTTTTCATTGGAGCTGTTTTCTACGTGGCGGGTCCCAAATCCTGCGCGCAAGATTCAAGTTTTTTACATATTTATATAGCGAGCGGCTTGTTTCAAGACCCACGCCCGCTCGTAGCCGCACCTCTGGTGAACAGACGCTGTAATTAGACTTCAGCAGACGAATAAGTCGATGTGGCTCCATTGAAGCTTCCTCTCTCTTTAGCCGTGACCCAAGGCACCATACGGGTTGGTTACCGCATCTTGCACAAGGGTTGCTCACGCTTCCAGGGTGCGCGACGCGTAGCCTCGTACAGCATATCCAGACTAAGCCCCATTACTTCCTCATTCATTTGGTGCCAGGTAAAAAGGGACATCCATTGAAAATGAGTGACTGCTCTTCTAGAGTAGAACGAAACCAGTGAAGAGAACCACGCACAAATAGTAATGTTGTTTCGTTAGATGTATAGACTGTGGGAACGAGCAAAGGGTTACAGGATCGCGAAAACTACGTACACAAAAAACATATCACTTGAAATTTAAGTTTTTATAAGCCGGACTCCCAGCTGCTAGAAGGAGTCTTGACGTCATCTCGGCTTTCCTTTTGGCATCGTATGCCTTTAATCTTGGTTCCATAGACATCATCAAGTGCATGAATTATTGAAAATGTGGAAAGATACGAGAGGTGCCCAGGGTCTGGCAGGCTACATTTATTTCTATTTGCAACAAGCACGGCATGTTCCTCAAGCTGGAAACACAATGAAGAGTGTAGCTGTACTGCTACTTTCTGCTGCTCTTGCTTTTTTGCACAGTTTCTGGTAACCATGTGGACGTATCCTCATGTAAATGACACTCGTTGGATCCAATAAAGATGAATGGAATTGTTTTTTTTTTTCTCTTGTAATCAGGGCTGCTGATTTTGTGCTCAATTTCTGTCTCGTTGGTTCTCCGAAAGAGTATAATCTTGGAGCAAGAATGCATACATATACAGAGAGCTCTTGTGCTACCTGGCTGCCTCTAGCTGTCGAAACTCGAAGGGCTTTTCAGCTTTCATTTTCTCCAACATGGTTTTCTCTCCACTCTTATGTACATACATACAGACATACATCAGGAATTAGGAGAACGTGGTGTATGCCATATAAACTTTTTTTAAGCAGAAAGTTTTATTTTGACATTAAAACACATGAAACAATTTTTCATAGTTTTTTTTTTCAATGAAATTAATGGAACTCCCCCAACAAATGCTCATCAACGCATAACCTCCAAAAAAAAAAAAAAAAAAAAAAAAAATGCATTCAAATCTGCATCTTCTATGACTTCTACATATAAATTAGTGCGCGCATTTCAATTCTATTTTTATCTATGAATTGTACTGGTTCGCTTTTAGCAACTCGTGCGCTGAGACTGTTTGGCGGTGGTCTCTCGGTTTTCATGCAACGCATGCGAGACAAGAAATGTATTACTTTGTAAAATATATGTGCACATAAAATACAAATGTACATATATATACATATACTCGTATGAATGTACATGTGGAATTTTTATTTGAAATTCCTTTATTTACGTTTTCAAGGTTCATTGTATTTGTAATAGGTATGTATGTATATATTGTAAGAATTAATGGCGAAGGCAGGAATGACTGCAGGTTTTTTTCCTGTTTTTTTTTTTTTGTTTTTTTTTTTTGTTTTTTTTTCCACTTTCGCATGTTAAACGTTAATTTTTTTGGCAATAGCTGCGAAATTCTTTTGCTAAATTTGTAAATTTGATTGTCGTGTATTTTATAAAATTAATTGTCAAATCATTGAACACCGATCTTTGGTGGTTAGAGGGGGCGGAGAGATATAGCACGCACTGTAGCGTATGAGCTACAAATATGTGAAGACTTCAAATTAAAATGTGCCTCACGCAGCACACCAATGTGGGGACAGTGGTCGAGTTATTTAAACAAATGGCCAGATATCAAAATATTTTTTTTGAATTAGAAATACAAAATTTTCATTATAGAAATTATATCTTGTTTAAATTGAAGTTTTCTCTAGGAGAAAATTTAGAATTTCATTAAAGAAAACTGTCTTTGTTTTGTAATATTGAAATTGAAAATTTTTTTAGAAAAAAAAAAACGACAATATTCTTTAGGAAGAAGATTGAATATGTTTTTTTTTTGAAAATATTTAATATTTTTAGTGCAAATTAAAGCTGAAAATTTTCTTTCGAAAAAAATTTAAATCTTATTTTCGAAATAATTTAAATTTTATCTGCGTAAAAGTTTAAAATTCTTCTTTTTTCGAAAAAAACTAATTTTCATTATAAAAAAATGGAAATTTTCTTAAGAAATGTTATTTTTTGTTGGTAAAAATTGCTATTAAAAAATTTCCTTAAAATAAAACTAAAAAATTGAAAATTCTTTCATTAAAAGAATTCTTATTTTTTTGGTGAAAATTGAAATTGATATTTTTCTTAAATCAGTAAACCTTATTTTCTTTTGGGGAAATTTTGAAAACTTCCAATTAAAAAAAAAAAAAAATTGAAACAAAAAATAACCTTAAAATGTGCTCCAGAAAGAAATTTAAATTTTTTAAACGGAAACCCTTATCTTTTTTTTTATTAAAAATTGGAAAAGGAAATTTTCTTTAAAAAAAAAAATTGAAAAATCGCTTCAGTTCTTTAGTTTCTATTGAAAATTTTCTCTATGAAAAAATTTAGAATTTCTCTAAAAAAATTTAATTTTCTTTAGTAAAAATCATAATTTTCTTCAAAGATTCCTTTGTTAGTAAAAATTTGTATTAATTTTTTTTAAATTATAAAACCTTAAAAGAATTCTTTTTTTTTTAGTGAAAATTGAAATTGATAATTTTCTTAAGAAAAGATTTAAAATTTTAGTTGGAAAAAACTTCAAATCAGAAAAAAACTGAAATAAAAAATAAACTCAAAATGTGCTCTAGAAAGAAATTTCAATTTTTTTAAAGGAAGCCCTTATCTTTTTTTTTTAGAAAAAAAATAGGATTGAGAATTTTCTTTAGAAAAAAATTTAAAAATCGCTTCAGATATAAATTGAAAATTCAAATTTAAAGTTTTCCGTGAAAATTTATTTGTTGTAGTAAAATTTTAAATTGAAAATGCCCTTTCGAAAAATTGTATTTTATTTAATCAAACTTTTATATTATATATTAAATATTGCATTTGGTAAAAAGTTAGAAAAAAAATAATTTTTAAATTTTTTTACTACATTTGGCAAAGTTTAAGTTATAGAAATTTAGCCATAGTCGTGATGAAAAAAATAATAATCTTTTTTGTTGAAAATAAATGACAAATTACAAAAAAAAAAAAAAAATTTCAGAAGAAAATTACAAATTGAATAATTTGTTTTCCAGAAATTTTTTAATTTTCTTCTTTTTTGGTTTCCAGCCCAATTTATGTAATTTCTGCAACATTTGATCCAAAAATATTCATAATATAATATATATGTGTAAGTATGCAAACAAAATGAAATCTTTGT